ATGCGATCCATATCCTGTCGTTTCAACGGCCATAAGTATCCAATACTTCCCGAGTCGGCATTCCGCGAATACGACAGTGTTTTAATATTCGCGAAATGTAACCCCTGCACCGCGTCTGTCTCGCGTGGCGGCGAATGCGGCGCGGCGAGTCTCGTGTGAAAGCACGTTAAGGCCCGGGCGGATCAGTTTCTAAGGAGAGAGAGAAGAGAAAGCCTGAGAACATAAGAGCGGCGAACGTCTGGAGTACACCGTCGTCGCTACCACCACTGTACCCATTGGTACCCATGCCGCATCCAGAGTATCGCGAACTTCGGGACGAGATCTTCGTTCGAATCCTTACAACCCAGCAAACGAGAATGGATTGAAATGAATTGAAATGGATTCAGATTTTCAGAAATATTGATTCACGGACGTTAAAATGAATGCTTTTCAATCCTGAATGTATTTTTATTCATTTGTAGGAATTGCATGGAGCATATCTCTTTGCCTTTCAATCTAAAAATAATATTAGCTTTTTCTGTGCGTTGTGAATACTGTTCAGTTCAAAATTTTGAATAGGAAATACAATTTTTCAATCCAATTGAATCTAATTGAATCCAATTAAATCCATAAAAAAGTATTCGCTATTTAAAATACGCTTTATTAAATAATATTCTAGGGCATAAAATAATATTCTAGGGCCAAACTATACTAGAAAAGTACACAGATTTGTAGTACAATAATATCACACTATTAAATCTATAGAGTCAAATTTAATCTAATGTCAGTCGTCACTGCTCCTACTAAATGTATCGTTATTTTTTACCAAAACGATAATTAAATTTGACTATATTGTCAAGTTGACATTATATAGTGTCAAATATAACCATTGTTTTAGTATAAAATAACGATAAGATTAAGTAGAGCAATGGCGACTCACGTTAAGTTAAATTTGTCCCTATAGATAATTTAACAGTACAAGGAATGAAAAGTGACTTTTTAAAAGTAACAAATTACAGTTACTCGGTACCGAATAGAAACTCTCTAAATCTGAATCAGGGATAGTCACTAATTATCAGTGGCATACTTGGCACTAATAATCAGTGAAGTTTAACTAAAAAAAAATGTTTGAGCATTATATAACTAAAATATTGATATTTGCACGTTAGTTTCAATCTTCCAATACCATATTCATTGAATTTAAGCACTAAAACAAAGTCGGTTAGATCACATAATAACGATTAGGTTAGAGATCTCACTTTTAATTCACCGATTACCAGTGGCATACTTGGTTCTAACATCAGTGATTATCCTGATTTAGATTTAGAGAGAAAAGTAACAAGTTATTTTTGAAAGTAACTCGTTACAGTTACCGTTACTTGAAAAATAACTTTTCTGTTACTTTTTTTTAAATCGACGATCGCCAATCACAACAAACGGGTCTAGGTTCTCTCTCTAGTCTCTAATTTCTCTAGTTTCAAGCGCTATGCACTGTAAAAAATTGTTGTGTAAAATTACAACTATTATATTGGATAATTTTGAGATCTACTATATTAATTGTAAATGTCTATACGCTTGTAAATTTGCAATATGTAAATAAAAATAATTTCTTGGTTTGTAACTAAGCAGAAGGAATGTATAATTACTATGTGTAATTTACAAGAACAATAATATGATAATACATTTCGCACTATATATTATTATACATTTAACAATACGCGAAATATTTCTATTACATTACGTAATATTACTAAAATTTTTGGATAATTTTTGGAAAATATTCAAAATATTCAAAATATCTTGCTATTTACATAATTTTCAATATAAAATAAGATATATTTACACAATAAAAGCAAATTTAATTTTTGTGGAATTACATAATTTCTAAAATTGCAGGATTTTTTATATTGACATATAAAACTTTTTATATTGATATATAGAACTAATCATGTAATCTACAATATTTTACATTTATTATATATGTAAATTTACGAAATTTTTTTACAGTAAAGTGGCTTGTGTCGTGTCCAATTATGCAAAGTAAATAAAAGTAACTAGTAAAATTCGTTACCACTACCAAAAAAATGTAATTTCGTTACCGTTACACTTACCAAAGAAAAAAAGTAACGCAGTTAGTAGTAAAGTTATCAAAAAGGTAACTCATAACTATATGTAATTTTATTACAAGTAACTTCCATTCCCTGGATAATACAACATTAAAAAATTAACGATTCTACGTGAGAAAAGATTATTCACTTCGAAATTACTAATATCATCCATTGACGTTCAAGTCATTCATTAATTTAAAATTCACATTATGAGACGTAGGAAAATTGAATAAAGTTTAAATTTTACTTTATATAACTCTCATTAAGTATTATAAATCTTACTGCAGTATTTTATAAATATATCGAAAATTATGACTCTCGAATTTATATAATTATAGTTTTAAATATCTCTTGTATAAATAATTATAAATTTTTATTTTTTGTATTTTTTGAGTTAATTGTAACATACAATACTTTTTATCCAATAGAAAATTGTATTTTGTATAGTATTTTCAAATTACAAGCGAGATCTATTCTAATTTTGTATGAATGTGTAAGAGATAAAAAATAATAGCAAAATTAATTTAAAAAAATTAAAAACCAATACGAAAAAAAAATAAAACACACGTATTCTACTCTTATTATGCTATTGAATAATAATATTCTCTTCTCTCTCTCTACTGAATAAGTCTATCGATAATTGGAAATACGGTTTCACAATACGGTTTCATTATGAGACAATGCAGAACATTGGATAATGATAACGCGCCAATCTTAATTATTCTCTTGGATCTTAATTATTCTCCTCTGTCTTGGACTTTACTGACTTTCTTTATTCGCCATTTTACAACGATGTAGGAGGCAATACTCACTGTATCGCTGTAAGGATTACGTCACATTAATTTATGTCTTGGCGAAAAGTCAAGATAGAAATTTACTAAAGGTAAACAATTATCCTTCCTTAATTCTCATTGCACATATTCAAGCAGAGAAAATTATCGAGTAATAATTCCTAAAATTATTCATTCCATTCATCCATCAATATTATTCATTCAATTTTTAAAGATATACATTTATTAAACTCGAGAAATTGTTTTTATTTAATTCTTGTATGTGTTAGTTTCTTTAAACATACTCACAGATAATAAAAAATCGTAAATTGAAAATTAACACTCATTGAATGATCCCTACATTCATGAAATGTTTAAAGATAATTGTTCCAAATCCATTTCGTTTTTCTAAACGATTATTTGAATGGATTTTGACATCGATCTCATTGGTTGTTTTAACATTATTTCAAGTTTCTTTACTTCGATAATGAAAGGTCACGTTCTCACAAGTGTTGTTTCCGTTTCTGTCAAATCATCGCAATATTCTGCGAATTACTGCGCGCGGTGAAGTATTTGATTTTTTCGGATGTAAGAAGCGCAAAATTCTCACGAGTTAAATTCTCGACCATTCAACAACGCGTTGACCATTTAATTCAGCAGTTATCTATCCAACGCTATCCGGCTTTCTTTTTTCGTTTCGAATACGCATCTAACTATTCGCATGCACGTACGTTGCGTTTATCTAATTTCCAGAGCAAACGTGTTATTATCGCGCCTGGAAATTGCAATACTAATGCATTTACGCCATTATCAGTATAATGAATTACAGGTTTTGTTAATCCACGTTAATTAACTGAATTCGTAATGAATACGTACTTCCAAATTATTTAATAGCTTCTAAGAAACTTCATCTAATAAATAATAGAAAAAACAAGACATTATTTTAATGCAATCGCCAACTACGACATTTCATTTTGAATCACTTTAGTAAAAGAATCGATCATTGAGAATATCAGCAACACCTCTAATCTATAAATGATAATTTTGCAACTACAACTTTTCATATACTCAGAGATAAATACAAACAATTATTAACATCTCATTGTACTTATCTTTATTATTAATTTTTAATACATATGACCATTCATTATACGAACTGTAACTATTTATTGCATAATTTATTGTGTGTAAGAAACTATAAAAATCGATTATAACATTTTCTCGAGTCTTTCGTGCAACTTTTCAACAACCCCAGGTCACAAACGTGCTCATCGAATACGCTTCAATCGCAAGAGGGTCAAAACAGGATACGATTCCCGCGGTAGGGGAAGGGAGGGGGAGAGGGGAGGGGGCCGCGGTCCCCGTTACGAGCGCAAAATATCGAGAGGGAGCAGCGAAATGTCGAGTTGGAGCGTGTTAAACGCACAGAAGAAGGGATGGCTCGCTTCCTGGAAAGCTGGGGCTGGGCACCTGTCCCTCAGGGACTGCCAACCCGGACGAGGGCAGGCGGGCCCCGTATTTTCACACCGCGGCGCGGGATGAATGAGCACCGCTGTATTGTTAAATATATCATCACGTGCGTTTCATCCGTTTGCAACGTCGCGTCGCTCCGAAATTGTTGGCTCGCCTTTGCTGTCAACTGGACAGTTGTCAACCTCGCGGAGTGGGGCGGTATTCTTTCATGCTTCCGACCTGACGATAAAGAAAAAAATAAAGAAAAAAATAAAGAAAATTGCATCTCGACGAGACGAACGGTGGTAGTTTCGAGGAATGACGATCGTTTCCATCGAGAGAATCGTGGAGTACTCTTGAAGAGTTCGTGAAGTTGAACCCGATCGACGGCGATGGTAGTCGATATTTTCAAGACAGATAGTAAAGCAAACTGACACGAGAGTACGGTAATGTCGGACGTCAAGGGAAACGGAGCAGCTAAAGCGATCCCTCGAGGAGGATGATCATGTAGAACGATGACATCGGCGTCGACGCTGAGGCGCATATAAACAAAAGTTTCGTTGCGAGCGATATGCGACGACGCGACGCGTCCAACGCGCCGGCGCTCGGCGTCGTTCGGCGTTTCTGTTGCCTAGCAGCAGCGACCCGGCAGTCGCGGGATACACGAATACATAGAATTTTATGTACTTACCGGATACCGTAGGCACGCAGTGATGAAATGTGGTGAACACCAGCAACGCGAGCAATAACGGTCCGACCGTGAGCGCGTAATCCAATCTTGGCCGTGGTAGCGACATGATGCCGTGTAAATATTATTATTACTTTTTTTTTTGTTATCCACACACGTCAAGTAGACACACACTCATCGGAAGGGAGCACGGGCGCACACACTCGGGGAAACGAACGGATGGACGGACGAACGAACGAACGAACGAACGAACGAACGGATGGACGCGAACGGACGGACGGACGGACACTCACCGGCCCGACGCACACTTGTTCGGTATTATTAGTGTATTACGGTATTACCGCGCGCCGTCACTCGACTGGGCGCATTGTACGCGACGCGCGTCACCAGCGATCCAGCGGATACGTCACCAACCGAGTCCCGGTGTGCACTACGTGCTCGCGCGGTTACGGGGAAAAAAAGCATACGGCACGATGTAAACGAACACGACCGCGTCCGAAACACTTCTGGGATCCCCTATTGTTCGCTTAACGCGCTGAAAGTAGTTCCGTGATGCGCGCGCACCTGCCGCCGTGCGCTGTATCGCTGCGCCAATGCGGGATGGCCGAACATGTGCGGCCAATCAGCGCGCGGATACAACGGCATACTGGCCGCGGCACGCCTCTCCTCGCGCACCGTCAACTTGTTCGAACACCAACATTTCCGAGGGGATGATTCGAATTCAACAAGCTCAATCCCAAAGCGAATCCCAACAGCTCGCGCTAACTTCGTTCTATACAGATGGAAAATGAAAAAAATAACCTGTTTATGTATTTATTTATTCACTTAGTATGTAGAATTAACCCTTCGCTCGTAATATAAGACTTTAAAAACGTCTCGATTTTTGGGGATTATAAATTCTATAAAAATATATAAAAATATATAGATATATATTTAAATAAGAATCTTATATTTAAATAAGAATCTCTAAGAAATATGTAAAATACAATCTAATTTCTATGATGATAGAAACTCATTATTCGAATTTTCACGAACGTACAAGAATTTTTTCTGATTTTTATATTTTACATACCTGTGAAAGCTTTAAGAATCAGTTAATTTTATTCTCATAAAAATTGAACTGTATTTACTTGCTTTTTTTCTATAGATTTATATTAACATTAAGAAACCAAAAAAAAAGAGGGGGCTACAAGTCTTTATTAAAAATTATTATATAAAATTAAATAAAACGTTGAAATATAAAAATTAAACAAAAGAAATAAATATATCATTAAGTAAAAATTTATTCTAATATGCTAGCAGTAAACAAATCGATCACACTTGGATCATTTTCAGTGTTAAACATACATATTTATTACAGTCGATAAAAACAAAACGTAATAAATTTTCTATTTCGCTCTCTAAACAGATGCTGGTAACATGAAAAATAAATATAATAAAATGTATAAATATAATAATATAATAAAATGTTCACAATAAATAATTATAAAATATCGAAAAAAGAAACATACGCATAATAACAGCTACTTGCAATCAATCACTGCTTATACTCAATAGTAGTAAAATGATAAGCTTAAATGTCTTTAAATTTAAGGTAAAAACAGAGAACGTATGAAATAAATTCCTGTAGATAAAATATAATATAACTAAATTATGTAAACGCAAGATTATTGTTACAATAAAAAAAACCAACAAGGAAAAATTGTTTGCAAGGAAGAATAGCGTACAAACAATTTAATATATTGAGAAAATAAAAAGCAAAATTAATAAAAGTTAAAATTGGCAAAAGTATATCTATATATTAAATGAAATCATAATTTAGTAACTAAAATTAATATGAATAAATATCTTAAATGTAATAAACCCAGAAGTTTCTTAAATTAAAAAAATAAAAGTTTCAGGTATAAACATTCAGTTGAAGAGACAACGCGAAAAGAAATAAAACGAATGTTTTCTTCGGTATTATGAGACATAATAAAATCACAAATTGAACATTCAAGGAAGGAAGGAAAGGATTATTAGAAAGTAGTGGGAAGTAAGAGGGGATAGATGTGTGGAAGAAGTCGTGGAAGGAGTGAGTAAAGAAAAAGAGGAATCAAGAAGGCGAGAGAGATTGGATAATTTGTAGATAAAATTCAGACAATGATTCTGTATCGTTTTGTTTATTTAAGCCCCGATTTTGTCTTTTTATGTGAATTAGAAATCAATCTCTTATTGGGAAGATTTACTATTTAAAATCGTCACTTTATTCTATCTAAATTATGATTGAAATTAATACGGTGATCGAATATGACATCGGAGGAATCCGTTTTTTTTGTTGATATCTGAAATATGTTCAGACATATTCTCGTATTTAATTTTCTTTTTGTTTGGCCGACATAGCCTCGCAATCATTATATGAGATCTTATAGACACACATTTTGATTAGAAAGTAATTCTAACTTGTCCTTTCCTCTCTTCTCTAAAACTTTTTAAAGTGTTGGTAATGGAAAATACTAATTTACAATGAAACATGTTGGATATAGGAGAGAAACTTTCGGAGATATAGATTTGACATAAGGAACTCTCTTTGTGAAAAAAAATTTTTCTTTGATTTATGAGATATGTGTAGTCTGTTTATTATGTATGTGAAATTTTGATCATTTTTTTATACTGGAAAAAATAAAGGAGAGAGGATAGCCATTATTAAGAAAAATATACTTCTTAGATTATTATGTTGAAACCGAGGATGTGATAATAGAAACATTTTTTTTGTCTATAAAACTGATAATTGTGCCTCTTTTGTAACAAAGAGGATGATTGGAATTAAAATTAAGGAACCTTCCAGAAAATGTTGTTTTGTGATATGTATCGAAAATAATTCTCTCACTATCAATAATTAAAGTCACGTCAAGAAAATTCAATCTATCGTCGATGCCAATCTCTATAGAATTGTAATCGTGTATGTAAAGAAAAATAAAGTTAAAAATATAGTTATGTTAAATCTCCGAAAGTTTCTCATCTTATATCCAACATGTTTTATTACAAATTAGCATTTTCCATTATCAATATTTTAAAAATTATAAGAGAAGAAAGGACAAGCTAGAATTACTTTCTAATCAAAATGTGATCTATAAGATCTCATGTGATGATTGCGAGGCTAGCTATATCGGTCAAACAAAAAAATAATAAAATATGTGAACATATAATATTTCAGATATCGACGGAATAAAAAACGAATTCTCCATCTGTCATATCCGATCACCATATTAATTTCAACCACACAATTTCAGATGGAATGCAATGAAGATTTTAAATAGTGAATCTTCTTACAATAAGAGATTGATTTCTGAAATGGTTCACATATAAAAAGGGCTTAAATAAACAAAACGACACAGAATCGTTGTCTGAATCTTATCTACAGGTTATCCAATCTTTCTCGCCTTCTTAATTCCTCTTTTTCATTATCACTCCTTCTTCCACACTTCTATCCCCTCTTACTTTCCATCTCCCACTACTTTCCAACAACAATTCTTTCCTTCCTTCCTTGAATGTTCAATTTGTAATTTTATTATGTCTCATAACACCGAGAAGCCATTACATCGTTTTATTTCTTTTCGTGTTGTCTCTATTTTCAATTGAATGTCTGTACCTGAAACTTTTATTTTTTTGACTTAAAAAACTTCTGGGTTTGTTACATTTAAGATATTTATAATTAATTTTAGTAATTGCTAAATTATAATTTTATTTAATATATGAATATACTTTTGGCAATTTTAATTTTTATTAATTTTGCTTTTTATTATCTCAATATATTAGATTGTCTGTATGCTATTCTTAACAATTTTTCAAAACCTTGTTGGTTTTTTTTATTGTAACAATAATCTTGCGTTGACATAATTCAGTTATATTATATTTTATCCAGGATCGAATTTATTTCATGCGTTCTCTGTTTTTATCTCAAATCTAAGGACATTTAAACTTATCATTTTACTACTATTGACAGTATAAGCATTTCAGTGATTGACTGCAAGTAGCTATTATTAT